GTCCAAGTATAGGTTTCGCATTTGCACGATCAAGTGTTCTGGGATTCCCATTCTTCTCAGAGTCAGCCACAGTTTGTTATGGTCCACACAGTCAAACGTCTTTGCATAATCAATGAAGCACAGATAGACATTCCTCTGGTATTCCCTGCTTTCAGCTAAGATCCATCTAACATTATCTGCCTGGACTTCCGTTAGTTCTCTGCTGATGTGCTGTTCCAGTCGTTTTTGGATAATCTTCAGTAGAATCTTGCTTGCATGTGAAATCAATGATATTCTTCTATAGTTTCCACACTCTGTTAGATCATGCTTCTTTGGAATGGAAACAAATATAGATCTCTTCCAGTCAGTTGGCTAAGTGGATTATTTACATCACTGAAATTTTCCTGAAAGAATAATATACACCATATTTATTTGAAAGGATCAGATTCCTTTCAAATACAATAAGCAATACTGTCAGCACAAAACAGGTAGTCAGAGTACTTATCTACAGTGCAAGCTTAAGCAATGCAATTTTTCTTTAAATCCTATGGCGGTATTTTTACTGAAGCACAGTGTTGCACTTAGGCAAGTTAAAGCTTTAACAGAACAGTGACTTTTATTTATACTTTTTAGGGCTGAATCAGTGATATGTCTCACTTTAAGATTTAGTGCCTTTAATTACTTTTATGAGAATGGTTTGCCTTGACAAAGGCAGAGGTGCTTCGGTTTAAGACATCAAAGACAGACATTCTTTTTTTTTAGTCTTAAGTATTCTATTTTTCATACTATGACATATATGTATTACAGCTGACGTTTTCCGGTTTTACTCAAAGAACACTGGCACACATACACAGCAAACTGAGGCAACTCAAAATTTAGAAATCTAAGTAGGAGAGTACAGACAAGAATTTGGCTATGACAAAGGGATGAAAAAATCATAGCAATTTAAACATACTTAAAAGGGCTCTTACTCCAAAACCTTTTATTTGGGGGGGCTATAAAGGGAAAAACATTAGTTTCAAGGTGAATTTGTCTTGAGAGTTAGTGAGACAAAACCCAAGATAAGAAAACTTGTTTCCGAAGTCACAGAATAACATTATTCAGTATATAATTTTCTCCCTTTTTTGGTGGTGGTGGTGCGAGGGTGGGGAGGGGAGTTAGTAATCAATGCTGGAGAAAATATTTTACCAAGAGTAACAGTATATACATACAGGGAAAAATGGATTTTTAAAAGCATATTGCTGTGATCTTAAAAAAATATAACATTTACAAAAAAGTGGAAGACAAAATATAAGCAGTCAGGTCTTTGCTTCAGTGCCCAGCACTATCATAATGGTTTTTAGGATAAAAGCAAGAAGTTCATGGATCTCAAGTATCATCAACAGCTGCCAGTGTAACTTACTGTTTTTATGGACTTTTTAAATAAAAATATTTAGCAATGGTACCTGATCAACTTTCACAGCAAAGGAGCCTGTTGTTCATAGAGGCAATTAGCTGCATATTCTCTTTTCTCCTATTTTCTCTTCCTTTCTCTTTTGCTCCAAGCAAAAAGAGGCCATCTGCTGTGCTTTGGGTAGCTGTTTCCATGCTCTTAAGACCCCAGGCAGTATGAAGTGAACTACAAAGTAGAGCAGAAGTACTTAAATTAGGCCAGTTAGTTGTTATGTCTCTTAAAACTGTGGCCCTGATCTTCCAAGCCAGTGAACCAAATTCTTCCAAGTGTTTGGTTGTACATAAACAGCCACAGCAGCTACTTTTTGTTAGGGGGATGTTGTTGGGGAATGGAGGGGATTGGTCATTCCATTTACTAAATCTATCACAAGACTATTGCCGTTTAACTTTTAACAAGTATGCAACGTGTTGATAACAGTTACAATAATTGGCTTTGCAACCCTGGCTTTAATGAATGAAAATTTTACATAACTGTTAACCTTCTTTTAACCCCTATGAAGGAATTGGCAAAAAACAAGGCTCCAGGAGTCAATGGCATACCAATTGATTTAATTCAACAAACAGATGCTGCCCTGGATGTGCTCACTAGGTTGTGCCAGGAAATCTGGAGGACAGCCAGCTGGCCAACTGACTGGAAGAGATACATATTTGTTCCCATTCCAAAGAAAGGTGACCCAACAGAGTGTGGAAATTATCAAACAATATCATTGATATCACATGCAAGCAAAATTCTGCTGAAAATTATCCAAAAACGTTTGGAACAATATGTCAACAGAGAACTGCCAGTTGTGCAGGCTGGATTTAGAAGAGGTCATGGTACTAGGGATATTATAGCTAATGTTAGATGGATCTTGGCAGAAAGCAGAGAATACCAGAGGAATGTCTGTCTGTGCTTCATTGACTATGCAAAGGCTTTTGACTGTGTGGATCACAACAAGCTGTGGCTGACTCTGAGAAGAATGGGAATCCCAGAACATTTGATCGTGCTAATGCGAAACCTATTCTTGGACCAAGAGGCAGTCATCAGAACAGAGAAGGAGACACTGGATGGTTCAAAATCAAGAAAGGGGTCTGTCAGGGATGTATTTTGTCTCCATACCTTTTCAATCTGTATGCAGAACAGATCATCTGAGACACTGGGTTGTACGAAGAGGAATGTGGCATCAAGATTGGTGTAAGAATCGTCAACAACCTATGTTATGCAGATGACACAACCCTGCTCGCTGAAACTGAGGAGGACCTGAAGCGCTTGCTGCAGAAAGTCAAGGACTGCTGCCTTCAATATGGAGTGAAGCTCAATATCAAGAAAACAAAGATTCTCACCACGGGGCCAATTGGCAGCATAAGGATGGATGGTGAAGAGATTGAGATAGTTAACAGTTTTAGTTTGCTTGGCTCCACAGTCAACACTCTTGGTAACAGAAGCCAGGAAATCAGGAGACCAATTGCATTGGGAAAGTCAGCTGTGAGGGACCTCTCAAGAGTACTGAAGTACAACAACGTCAGGTTGGAGACTAAGGTGCACCTGATCCGGGCTATAGTCTTCGCAATTACGTGTTATGCATCAGAGAGTTGGACAGTGAATAGGGGTGATAGAAAGAGTATTGATGCCTTTGAGCTGTGGTGCTGGAGAAGCAGTCGCTAGGAGAACAAACTGATTTGTCCTGGAGAGGGTGAAGCCAGAATGTTGCCTGGAGTCAAGGATTCTGAAGCTTCATCTGACATACTTTGGGCATGTTGCAAGGAGGGACTGGTCCTTAGAGAGGGACATCATGTTTGGGAGAGTGGAGGGACGGCGCAGGAGAGGAAGACCCTCGATGAGATGTATCAATTCTGTGAGTGGAGTGGTGGGAATGAATGTGTTTGAGACAGCGAGATTGGCACAGGATAGAACGACGGTTAGGGCTCTTGTACATAGGATCACTGTGACTCGCAAACGACTCAATGGCACATAAGAACAACAACAACAAAAACAAAAACAAGTGAGGTCATAGAATATTTTTCCTTTTGTGGCCTACTGGGTAAAAGCATCACACTGCTAACTCAAAGGCACAGGGTTTAAATCCACCAGCTGCTCCTCAGGAGAAAGTTGGGCAGTCTCTTCCCATGTGATTCGCAACCTCTAATAACCCACTGGAAGATCAGCTATGACTTTATTCCAAACTCAATGGCTCATAGTAATAATGTCTTAGAGGAAGCTCTGGTGGCTTAGTGCATCCAAAGTTGTGCTGCCAACCCAAATGTGGTACCTCTCTAGCAATCTAAATTCTCCAGACCCTCCACAGGAAAATAATGGGCAATCTCCTCCCATGCAGAAATTTACAGCCTCTGAAAACCCACTTGAGAGTGAGCTAAGATTCAGTTGCAACTTGATGGCAATAAGATGAGGGATTGCCTTGAAAGGAGCCTTGGTGGTATATATAATGTGTTGAGATGCAAACCAAAAAGATTAGCAGCTCACATCTACTAGGCATTCCTCAGGAGAAAGACGTACAGTCTCTTGCCAAAAACATTTCAAAACTCACTAAACTCGTTGCCTTCAAGTTGTAGCCAATTCATGGCTAACCCTTCAATGGGTTTTCAGAGACTTTAGCACGGGAGCAGATGGTCCATCAGTAGAACTCCCTGTAAAAATAAAGGTTTATGGCCTCAGAAACCCAGTGGAAGGTTGTTATGAGTTGCAACTGACTTGACAATAGTTGAGTCTGAATTAGCAGAACAACTCTTTACAGACCACGCCGTCAGAGCTTCCTTTTGAATAATGTTGTTATGTACCGTAGAGTCAGAACCAACCCCTAGCTGATCCTGGTGGGGTGTTCAGAGGCAGTTAATCACATGGGAGGAGATTGCTCATCCTTCTCCCATGGAGCAACTGGTGGCCTTGAACCATGTGCTTTTCGGATTGCAGCACAGTTTCTTGCCACTATGCCAGAAAATACTATGTAAATCATCTTACACTTTAAAAAGCAAAACATTTAGTAACATTTTAGATCCTTTACACATAATTTCAGACTGTCAATGATGGAGCAACAAGACAGGGTAAGAGTTTCTTCTAGGGATGTTCTGATAAGGCTTGACCAGATGGCTGCTCCCTACAGATATGAGGTGTCAACTAGAGCTGGGACTGACGAGGGCATGAGAGAGGATGTTGTACTTCTTATCTATCTGCGGGAGTACTCTCCAGCTCAGGAGTTTAACAACTCCTACTATGGCCTGATGCTTTTTGGGCACCCACTCTTGCTGTCTGTATCCCGTGACCGGTTCACCTGGGATTCCTTGTATCACATCCTGCTGTACCATCTCTCGTGAATTTGCCCTCCCTGGGGGAGAGGGGAATATTGAATCTGAACTCAGACCTTGGTGTCTGACTGCTCACTTCATGCCTTCTTATACCTTACTTCCCATATCCAAAGGACAGCTCACACTTAAAATTACTATATAGGAATTTGATGGTTATTTTCTTCTAAATCTCTGGCTTCCCCACAGCCTCTCTTTAGGTGCTGGGAACATAGATGTGAACAACAGACAACTTTTTCTTGTGATTTAATGGTCTTTTTCTTTGAGAGACATTGTCTTTTCAGTTTTTACAGATAGATTTTCACTGTTGTTAAAATCCAGATTCCTTCCTGTAGCAATAAAGAAAAGGCAAATACATTTTGTGACTTAGCCTCTCTTGCATCATTCTCTACTTACAAGTCTACTCATAGGTCTTTCCTGATCAAAGTTTGCAGCTGTTTATCAGAGGCTTAACATACTTGAAAGTCAAACTATTTACTGTAGTATACTCTGTTTTATTAGTCGACTACAGGCATCCTCAACCTCTTGTATTTTTATGTCACCTCCTCAGGCCTTCCAGCTTCCATAATTAATATGTAGGCTTATCAGTAAAGTTTCATTACAAGTAAAATCCCAGATTCGGCCTGTTACTGCTCTTGTGCCCCTCAAGTTTGAGCTTCTCCTATCCTTCAACAGATGCTATGTGGCCAGGCCTGGATCAGATGATGAAGATGATGGGGATGAGAAGGAGGGAAGGAGGATCCATGAGAATGAAGACTTCTATAAACAATTCATAGCTTAAATGAGAGAGAGGCCAAGGGTCAGGAGTGGGAATGGGATATCTGGAGTAGGTCTGAATAACACAGGGTCTATCTGGATGTACATTGTACTTTTCCCTCTATGGTTTTGGCAGTCCCATTACTGACATTTTCTTATGTCCTAGGAGATAGAGAGAATAAGGTCAGTGTCTCCAAGATGGCAGGGGACAACCTTCAAGATCCTGGGCCAGAACAGGGTTGGCCCAGCTCTGGAGTCATGAGCAGGAACCAGGTCCCTGAGGACAACACCCCTGGTTCTCTTAACTGGCCCCAGAGGTCTCAGCACAAGCAATTATTCACTCTGTAGACAGTGAATTCCAATGGACCAGTGACCACATGACCTTCAGTGAAGATGGCCATGGTGTCTCCTTTAGCTGTGAGCCAGGGTTAGGGAGTTGAGTGGAGGATTTTCCTAGCAACAGGTCTTACTGACCACCTACCATCATCCCCAGCTCAGCCATACATTGCAACTGACTGGAAGCCAGAGATGAAGAAATGTTACTATGATGAGGTGGAGGCTGAGGCAAAGACATCCCAGGGATGGGGTAGCACTTTCAACTTGTCCCTCCTCAGTTCTTCACACATCCCCTTTTCAACAACTCCAACCATGAACAGAGCTAGGAGACCCAGGTTCAGGTTCATTTGAAACCTGAAGGCCCGCTAAGAACTCTGAGGGCCTCAGGTTTCTAGCTTCAAAGTCTATATGCTTTCCCACTCAGCGTGTATTTTCCACCTCCACTTTTCGTTAAGCTATGCATTTTCATACTCAGTTGTCCTTTGAGTCAACCCTAGGGCTATGTGAAGCATGAATGTGTTAGCTATGTGCTAAAGAAAGTGCCTGTGCAGCTGCAGGAGTACATTAAGCTCTTCACCACTGTTGAGACTTTGGAGAAGGAAAATCCCTGGTAAGGACCCAGAATGAGGTATGTAGGGTTTGGAAAGGTGTGGCTACAAGGTCAAGTCCTTGTTACCTCTCTCATTACATTTCTGTCTCTTCTCACTCAAAACACCACTACCATACTAACTACCAACACATTAAGCATACTCCCACCACAAGACTTTTACCTTCTGCCAAGAATGTTCTTCTCACAGTTGATCATAGGATTCTACTCCTTTACCTGCTCAGGTTTGTAAACAAATGTCACCTTATCAGAGAAGTCTTCTCTTAAGGTCCTGTCAAAAGCTATGCCCTTCACTTACCCACCACCTCCCTCCATTCCTTCTTTATACTTTTTTCCTTCTTAGTTCAATAATACCTCTTAGTAATATTACTCAAAGTCATGCCATGAACCCTTATATACTGTTGGTGGGAGTGTAAAATGGTGCAACCACTATGAAAAGCAGTATGGCATTTTCTCAAAAAGTTGCAAATAGAAATACCATTTGACCCAGCAATTCCACTAACTGGCAATATACACTAAAGAAACCAAAACTACCACCCAAGCAGATATATGCACACCCATGTTTATTGTTCACAATAGCAAAGAGTTAGAAACAACCCAAGTGCCAATCAACAAACGAATAGATAGAGAAGCTGTGGTATGTTCACACAATGGAATATTATGCTGCATTGAAAAACAAGGAACTAATGCAATATTATACAAAATGAGTGACTCTGGAGGACATTATGCTGAGTGAAATATCCCAGTCACAAAAGGACGAATACTGTTGTAAAACAGGACTGACATCGGGGTTGGGAGTTGTTGTTGTTATGTGCCGTCGAGTCGCCTGCGACTCATAGCGACCCTATGTACAACAGCCCTAAACTCCGCTCTGTCCTGTGCCAATCGCACTGTTT